ATTCAAGCTTTATCTAAAGATAATTTATTAAAAGAGCGTGCTTTATTTCGTATAGTTTCAAACGGTTTCTGTGTTATATTCAAGTGTAAACTCATACTCACTCTGCTTGTCTCTTTGTAACAGCATCATCAACGTTTTCAAAGCGTTCTTGCAATGACTCCATGTCGTCTTGTATCTTCACTTTCTCTTCAAGACCGATGAAAGTCTCGTTTTTCAGCACGTTAGCAAAGTTGTCAAGTTCATCAAACTGTGGTTTCTTTTGCTCAATATCCTTCATGGTGGACTTTTGGTAGACATACAAGACATGTTAAGGCAACATACTAACGCATTCAACACAAACTACATACGTTAATGAATAATCGAAAAAACTACAAAGCTCAAGTCCTTATATTTGTCTACCTGGTTTTCTCGTTGTTGTCTTTCAACCATCGGAATGTCATAGGCGATGGGCTCGTAAGCCTCGACTTCAGTCTCTGTCTCGTTGAGCCAGCTGTCCAGCGGTTGACTTTGTCTTCTCCAGTCGTTAAGCCGTCGTGTTTGCTCTCCTTCGAGGTCGTCGATACGACTACCAAGCCTGTAAAAACATAACATCTTTTTATACAGGTGATTTGAGACATTCAAATTTGAAAACTAATAATCTGGAGCTTAGCATGCAGTCAGAAACTACCGCAAAGCATTCTGGTACTTGTGTACAAAACGTCATATTGACGTCATAGTGATAGAGAAATTTTCACGTGAGGCGCAATCAACGTACTTTTTCTGGACGTTGTGTGTGGCGGTGTTCAAAGACTCCCATCTTTCCCTGATTGCCTGTTTCTCTCTCGTTACCAGTGCCTTCTCGCTAGAGTGGATCCCAGGCTCCATGATCAATGTATCGGCAAAGTCCTCCAGCGTACGAACGTGTTTTTCATACCCAGTTACGTCTTTGCGTATATGCTAATGATTGAATGAAAATATTAAGGTCAAAAGACAATGACACCTCACACACAACAACAAACACAACAATTACAACAGCAACGACGACAACAGTTACTAATACTGTTAATACTAAATCAGCAACCAAACTTCGACCCCATCGACATGGTATTGCCATTGACAACCAACCTGTAATTTTAGAGTTTGGTCTTTAGCCGCGTCAACATTGCTAACATTAGCGTCTAGTTCCTTAAGTTTGGTTGACGTGTCGGTCAACCAATCAGACACTTCAGACTTTCTCGTGTCCCAATCAGAAAGAAGATTCTTCTGGCGTCTGTTTAGGGAGTCTTGCTTCTCCTCCAAGCTACAAAAATAGAGAAAATGCTTTAAATCGGCCATATCCATCTATCACTGAACCCAACCAATTGTAAATTCATCCTTCCATCTATTTCTAAGTCCATTCGATCAACCATTCATTATCACTATGTAAGAACAGTGGATTCGTTATTGCGTGATATCACGTATGACTGATGGCGTAGAGGACTGGTTGAGTGCTTGTGCTTGTGTGCGGGATTCATGACCTTGTAATACTTTGTAATTATTAATAAATATATTATCTTACAACTATTTTTTACCTCTTTTCTCTTCGTTCTAAATCTCCCTTTGCTTTATGCCATCGTAGTTCAAGAGCATCACATTGTTTGTTAATATGCCGTCGGTTTTCAGTGTTGATACCAGGTTTGTCCATTAACTCTTCTGAGTAACTCAGGAAATTTGACACTTGGTCGTCAATGGCGTCCTTTTCCAGGTTAAGGGCCTGCAGGAAAAAATACATTGACCGTTCCGTACAAGTCTATCAATCAACCTACCAGGTTTCGTCTGGTTTCTTGCATTTCAACACAACTATTTACGTATCTACATATCCCATTATCTAGAGTCCAGGAAACTCTTCTATTAAGTGCATAGGGATCCCACTCTACTTACCTTAATATCTTGTCTTTGTTTCTCGATAGTGTCCTGATCTCGGCCTATAGGTATCTCATTAGCTCTCTCTAGATTGGCTATCTTACTGTTAACATTGTTCAAACGATTGTTCCAGCCGTCCATCTCAGCATGACCTTTCTCCAGTTCCAACAGTTTATCTCTCAGCCTAAAAACACAAGAAAGTTATAAACGTCGAATTTCACATGTGTTGTTCCTGCTCCTTTTTGCATTGTATTCAACACATGTGAAAAACAACGTTTGAATCAAGTCTTATCTCAAACACTATATCCTGACCGCTGCTTACTTTGCTTGGTGGCTATTGATCATGTCTTCAATATGCCCCCATCGGTCAATGCGCGCTTCTTTTTCAATCTTGATGTGATCACGTGACACGGCGTCCAGCTGAGGGTCGTCAATAACCTTATCGGTGTACTGCCCATACTCGAAGACCTTGCGTTTTTGGCTCCGAACCTTTGACATCACATCCTAGAAAGAAAGTCTTTTAGGTAAGAAAACTTCGTCCTTCGTAGACTTCTACAATCTTGTTATTTTTATAAATACCATGATGCACTTCGTTGAAACAAATGTGACGTCATCAGTGGAAAGGACCAATGAGAAGCTTACATCATTATTACCTTAAATTCTTCATTATGTCTCTTAACTGTTGGCAAGTCATCACCGATGGAGTCAGACGAGCGAATGTCTCTTTCAGCGGCCGACAGGAACAAATCAAACTCATTCGTGGTTTCCTCCCATTTCTCGATCTTTCGCTTGCGGTTTTCACGCAGACGTTTAGCGGTTTCCTCGAGTCTTAAAGAAACAATTGATTGCTTATCATCATCATCATATTTATTGTCATTTACATCATCATCATCCATGAAACCGCATGTCTGAGACTACTTACATGTAGCTCTGTGATTTTAAAAAGCATCCAGTGATCAGGTTCCCCGAAAGTCGCGGTTGTAAAATCGCTATTAATATATTGTCTAAAATACTTACCGTGCTTTCCTGAGGTCCACAAAGTCTTTAATTCGATCCCATCGTGACGTTAGTAAGTTTAGTTGACCCTGGACACCATCTCTCTTGGATTTGGCGTTCTTTGTGTCATTAACGATGCTCTCACCTAAGTCAAACGTATCTTGTATTTGCGTTTCGTTCAACTCTACGTGATTCGCAAATACCTGCAAACAGAGAGTAAAACGGTACTTCACACAACAGTATTAACGCAAATTAACGTAATATTCATAATAATTACGCAACGTTCATTATTGATACGCAACGTCCATAAATATTACGCCAAATTTATTTATTATGTTCTTACGTCAAATTCTTGTTCTTGTTTCTCCACGTCCTCAAGCTGTGTAGCCAGCGGTTTATCAACTCTGGGTAACTCAGCTTCAAACTTGCCAAGAAGTTCAGAGGCGCGGTCCACACGTGTTGTCCAGCGGTTAAAGTCATCGTTTTGTTGTTTTTCCAGTTTGGCGAGATTATCGTCCAGTTTTGACTGACGAGAGTTTGCAATGTTGACGAGTTCGTTCCACTTTTCGTTGCATTCGGCCATTTCTTTTCGTACTTTTTGCCGCTCATCTTCGCCGAGACAAGGGTCTGCTAGCAGGTTACTACTGAACTCGTTTAGATTGGTGACTTTGTCCTGGTAGATTGGCGCATCTCGCACGTGATTCTATACGCAAAAGTTCCATTAGCAAAGAAACAAGCATGTGGGATAGACATGAAGCTAGGAGCATGCGTAGTACGTAGTTTACTTCAAAATTATTGAGTTATATGAAGAAATTACTAATTAGCTGAGTTGTGTCGGACAGGATTTTCAACCCAGACCGGAATTTTCCAGCCCCGTTGACTAGCTCAATCAGTATGACCATAGTATGTATTTGGAAAATAACCGCGACCTTATTACCTGGAATTCATCGATCTGGTCATAAGCTGAGTCTACATCGTTAGCAAGAGTCGGTTCAGGTTTGATGTTGTTCAATGTTTTTGTTATCCAAGGATTCACATCATCAAGGCCTTCTTGCCATTTTCGCAATTTGTCTTCTCGCTGGTTCTCAAGCTTTCTGATGGTATCCTCAATTCTGAAAAGACCATCACAAGGAGTCAAAAATGGGTTAGGTTCCCTGCTCCACCATCTTGGAAGGTTGCGGTACCTTGGTATCGAAGCGAGACGACAGTTGAGCGTGCAATGATCAAAACGAGGAGATACTTTATTTACAGGTATCTATCATTGCAAACTTAACGGTTGTCTCGCTTCGAGGCACGGTTACCTTTCAAGATGTCGAAGGAAACCATGAAGGAGACTATTTCTATCATTTCTCGGTCACCCTTAATTACTCTACAACTCATCCGAAAAAAATACGTGTACCCCTTGATGATCACGTGATTTCCAGAACAATACCAACCTGTTTTGCTTCCAGACAAGGGACTCATCAAGTTCATTCCAGCCATGTTCAAGTTCCTGCATTTCATCTTGGATGATGGTTTTCTCTTCCTCGTTGACTTGTGGACCTTTGAGAATGTTCTCTGACATTTGAGTGATTTCGTTTACTTCGGGTGCATGGGAATCCTTTTCAGCTCTGAAGTTCTGTGCACGACAAAGTCACTCAGATTAAGTATGTGAATGGCAAGCAAGCAAGCAAGCAAGCAAGCAAGCAAGCAAGCAAGCAAGCAAGCAAGCAAGCAAGCAAGCAAGCAAGCAAGCAAGCAAGCAAGCAAGCAAGCGATCATCAACTACCTAACTAGGTAACTAACAGGCCATCCAACCAAAAGTCTTAATTACCTCAATGTCTTTTCGTTGTTTTTTAACTGAGTCGAGGTCAGGTGCAATAGCATACTCTTTGTTAAGTCGTGCTTGTGCTCCTGTTATCCATTTCCTTAGGGGACCGTACTTCTTCCTCCAAATTTCTTCCAAGTCTTTGTGCTGCTGCTCTAGTTTCACAATTGAATCTTGTATGCTAGAATTAAAAAACACAAAGATCGACACGTTTTCTTGAACAGAAGAAAAAGATAACAGTGTTACTTTTCATCAACCTTTAGGTGTGCATATAAAACAAGGTATCAGTAAGCTATAACAGAAATTAAAACGTTTTTCTCTATTTAATTACATCATGAATAACATACACGTTCAAGTGTTAGCAGGAATTATCTAGTTATAAAATCTACCAACTTGATAAGTTTTTTGTGCTCGATTATAATTCAACTATTTATCTTCGTGAATCGTAGAGAATGTCATGTTAATAAGAAAATGTACATGATAAGCCGTAACTTGATGGATCACTAGTGTTGCGATGCCTGTACATACGATTACCACTACACACTATATGATGACCTGGCCTGCTACGGTTGAGGTCTTGTTTCTCTCTTGATAATTCAATGCTATGGTCAGAATCTTGGTATCAATTTTTCCCAATTACAACAACTTAGTACAGCAATTTGAAGTTTTACCAAATATAGCGGGCACTTTTCTTCAATGGTTGTCCAAATATGACAGTTCCTTTTGTTCGGTTTTTGACCAAGTATGTCATTGCGTCATTTCTAAACACACCGCAATGGTTGGCTTGTAACATTCCTATTGCGCAAGCTTGAATATGGTATCTGAGCGGATCCCACATGGTGGAGCCGGCGTTATCTCCATCCATACATAACACTGTTTTCAACCCGTATAATACAACATGGGAAGTGGCGACCGTTTAAGTTCCTTTCCTTGCTTTTCAATTGCTCCCTGAAAGTCTTGTAAGTACCACAGTTCTTTGATGCTGTATGGTAAGATGGATGATTGAAGTTTATGCCCGTACTCCAAGCATACCCAAGCCATTAAACTTTGTTAGTAGTATAATACCATTATTGTTTACCTTTACATAAGGACATACCTTATTGAATGTTTATTAGAATTATTGCAATTAATTAAGTGTTCGGTAGCACTTAAAGACTCTGTGGTGGGAATTGTTATAATGGGGATCCGTAGTGTAAGCCTCCAGTGCTAAACTAGAACGTTATCAAGTATTACTTTATCATTGTTAGGATGTATACTGAGTAAAGCAAAGCTATTAATATATTGTTATCAAACTTTCTGCGCATTTTTTTTTATTGTGATCGCACGCGAGGAAAACAGCCCGCAAAAGCCCGCAGAATTAAAGCAAGCAATTAATAACATGCACAATAGCAACATGCACGATAACAACACAACAACAAAGCGATTAATGACATGGGCATACTCAGAATGACAAGCACAAAATCAAATCATCACATTCACCACTAATACGATACCCGGGCTCTCCACCAGTGGGGTTTGCAACAGTAAAACGTACCTTGAAGTTGATTTCTTTTATTGTTGATTCTTTAAGCTACATGTGTCTTCTTCTGCAACTACTTTATGACTAAGACTAACTACATTTCTTATTGAAAGACATTATTTGCTGAACAAGAATTGATACAATACAATAATCTCCTTGTGTTGAGAATATTACTAATTTACTAAGATAAAAACTTAGGAAGCTGTCATTATAAAAACATAAGTTTCTAATCCAAAATCTTTTGCTATATATAATATACATTTCTGAAATGGTTTGATAAGAATTTAGTAAAATCTAAATTCTTTGTCTTCTATCGTTTGATTGTTGAAATTATGAACATTTTGTCATAGTATTTCATGGATACATTGAATGCACCGTACGTATTTGAGCTGAACTTAGTGAATTCTAAAGGTATATAAGGTGAACTAAAATGTTTTGTTAGTAAATTTTTGAAAGACTGTTCATAAGCGATATTTGGGTCAGCGGACTTACTGTTCTTGTCTAGAGGTGAGAGCCAAAGACAGTCGGTCCCAGTCCGCGTACAGTTTACTCATCTTGTCATGGACGTCTTTTCGTTCATCTGTACCACATGAAGGGTCGTCTAGCAACCGATTGCCGTCATCAATGATGTCATTAACTTGAGGCTGCTTGTTAACCAGATCTTCCAGAATTTCCTATTAACAGTATATCATATCAGACGTTGGGATCATCGTCTCGTGCACCTTGGTGTCACGTTGATGTCACGTCATACAGTGTAAATATTGTCACGCCATTCTACTATTATATCACGCTCGGTCACGTCAGATTCTTTCCTAGAATTTGTCACACCTACCTCTGTGACGGTCTGCTGTCTCTTTATAGTCCCAAACGAGGCTGAAATTGTCAAAGGTCGAGTTTCTAGAAGAGACAAAGTATCGTCCACCCAAGCCTGCATGTCGTCACAGCGCTCGTGCCAACCAACTAACTCGTCTGTCTGCTCAGCGGTTGACAGTAGAAGACCTTCAAGGCTGTAAGAGCGGAGCAACAATAACAATAATCAATGAGAAAGAAAAACTAGTTCACGTTCATACAATTCTGTATTTCATAACATCTCATCGATTTGTTGACAGATTCTCAACAATCAAATAATTTATCAATTAATAAATGATTAATTAATAGATTAATAGACTGCACCTTTCTTCCTTTGCCAGTCCATCGCTCTTGAGGTTTCCCCACTGTTTGCTCATAGATATCAAATCAACACTGATTTCCTCTTTGTTATTATCAGGAATATCTTCTTTTTCGAGGAGTTCTTTGCCTCGATCTATTGTCTCGACGAACTGCGGCTCGGTTTCCTCGAAGCCGATATTGAGTTCCTAAAAATACAGACATAATGTTAGGGACTGATTATATGAAGCGAGATCACCGTTTTAACCGGTTTAACAGGTTCAACTATGTCTCGCCCAGGCAAAAGAAAACAAACAAACTAAAAACAGCCCGTCCAGCTGGGTTAGCCCGCTTCATATAATTGGTCCTCGTGTAACACGTGACTGACCTTAATTTCATCCAGGCGTTCCTTGATTTCTGCTCGTGTATTCAAGTCAGTGGTATCAAAGAGTCGATCCTCTGCCACCTCGAGTCCAATCTGGACTTTCTTGACCCTCTCTCGCCATTCCTCCATGTCGGGATGATCCTCGACACTCGGCTGTTGCTCGTTCATTTCAGCAATCCTAACACGAGGAGCAATAGAGAGTAAGGATTGACGTTTGGTTAGTTTTTAGATGGTGAAAGTATATTTGTGGACTGATGGACGACGGATGACCGGATCAACAAAAAGATAGATCACAGTTTAAAGATTAATTGCTGCAAGAAAGTGTCTGAATGCGATAGCCATGGAATAGTGGACAATGAACAGATGAATATACACCATGTATCAAAGTTCAAGGCAAATAAACGGCTGCCTGAGACCGCAAAGTGTCGGCCGTTTGTCTTTTGAATAATAAAATGTTGGAAGAGCGATTGGATGGACGTCGGTTTGACAGTTTGATAAATAACGTCTACTCTATAAAATCTGCTTTCACATGAGATATTTTAGTTCTCAAGGTAAACAAATCATGCATAAACTCATAAAGAATATACTATTATCGATGCCTTTTAGAAATTATTGAAACGTTTTTTATAAAAACCTTACACGACATTTAACCAACGTTGAGTGTTTGTGTTTCGCTTACCAGATAATTTATTTATCAACAACAATAACAAGAACAAAAGTGTTTTGCCAAAACATTTGAGAACGCATCTTAATAGACTTACAGAATTGAAATTACTAGGAATAACATAACTATTAGTTAGGTTAAATAAAAGCCGTTTGTAGATAAGATTTAAAAGCTGAGGAAGCATAAAATAGCCGAATAAATAATAATTATAAGTAGTAATTATAGACGATAGTTTTCAAATGATTTCAGCTTGAGTAAGCATTATGAGACGAATTTATAAAAAATAGTTACTTAAACAGTCTATATTTATGTAACTACAACATGTCATTGCATGACAAACACTTAATCAGCAACAGTACAATCGATAGAACAACACAAACAAGAAATTAAGAGAATCATTAAATTGTTTGAAACTCGAGATGGAGTCATACTGTTAACATTCAAAACTACAAGCACATTAATTACTATATTACTATAATAATTTAAAGGAAAATACCTTTTCTATTCATACAGATGAGTATCGTATTTGTGAAAAGTGAACTTACTTTAAGAGAAAAGTCTTTGCAGGGCAATAACTGCATAAAAATGTATTTAAGCCATGTTTTCCAAGCCAGTATTTTCAGTCAAGCATACTTAATGTATGCAACAGAAGTAATATTATTTATAATCACGTATAGAAAGCTTTTGTTTTAAGGTTGACCGCTTTAAAATCGTTGACTGCATTTGAACAATAGCAGTATTTCATTTGCTTGTAATTAAATACACTTTAAAATGAATTTCCAATGAATAGTCAGGAATATGGTCAGGAAGCAAAAACATCAAGCTATGCATCTTCAAAAGATATCCATTTTTTCGGATGAAAAAAAGATCAATAAATTAAATAAATAAAGATCAACAATTTGTTGAGATTATTGTTTTTCAATTTTAAACGATCATTTTTGCTGATACTCACGTCAATTTAATATCGTTATTGTCCGTTCTAATATCGTCTAGCTCGTCTTGTAACCTAGCAACATCATCCTTGACTTCTCGAATCTCCTTGTCGTCAAGGTTACCATCATCAATCAAACCGTTCCCATAGTCCCTCAGGTCTCGAACTTCCTCGTCTAGCTTGTCAAGATCACGTGAACACTCCTAGAGAGCACATGATAAACAGTAGTGTTTGTTATAAATATGTTATTGTTGATTGTCTGTAAGTACTGAACCATGCGGGATTGACTATTTAGTACATTTACGAGCATGCGCATTAGTGAATCACACAATTTGAGGACATAAAAGTTGTCACGCAGATTTAGTCACGTGTTAGTCACGCTTTGTCAACTCACATGTCACTCTCACCTTTGATTGATCCATCAATTCGTCTTTGCTTGCTTCGTGTTTATGCGCCTCGTCGTTCGATTTGGGAAGTCGCTTTAACTTGTCTTTTAGTTTTTGTACATGATTCTGGATCTCTTTCCTCAAGTCACGATATTTGTGTTGCTTTTCTTTTTTGATAAGGTCTTCTTCGTCAGAAAGCTTTTTCAAACTGAAACAAATAAAGTGTACATTCATAATCATAGTCACTATCATCTATCATACTATTAGTACGTACGTTACTTGCTGGTCAGCGATATCTTGTTTTAGTTTTTTCAAGTCTCCTTTGAATTCATCAAGGTCATCTTTAACCGTCTCTGTACTTCCCTTGTCCAGATTCTTTTCTCGTAAAAGTTCTTCGCCGTGATCAATGCAGGACTGTATGTTGGGTTCTACTTGGTTTAACTCAGCTTTACATTCCTGTAAATTTAACATGGTTTAAGGGTTATTTCCAGTAAAATTCTGAAGTTTGTACTGGAAAAAAGAATCTAAAGTGCAAACTGATTGACCTGGTTGGGTAAAACGACCGGTCGGTCTAAGACACTAGTGAAAGCTAGAAAATTAGTAAAACGTTCCCAAAACAAAGCTAGTTAAAACTTAAGTAAGTAAAAAACCTCTCTCACTAAACCTAGACTGAACCATACTAGTCATAAATGTTTACCTCAACTTCGTCCAGACGTTCCAAAATCTCTTGTTTATTGCGAGGCTTCAGTTTAAACTTCAAAACACCAACTTTATTTTGCAGTTTGTCGAAGGATGGTCTTACGGAGCGTTTCTTGTCGTTCCATCTCGAGAGCTTTTCTCGTAAAACGGCTTCGTGTTTCTCAAGAGCTTCGTTCAGTCTAAAAGACGTTGAGAAAGTTTCACGTCGCGAGAATACATTGAAAGTGTTTTTAGTTGTACAGGATTGTATACTTGGGGATTAAAGTTTCTGACTTAGCCTTGTGATTATGTAAACAAAGGGACACTCGACCGTTAGGATTAAACTTTTCGAGAAAATAAGAATTTAAGGCATGAAAATGAAAGCATTTGAAGGTTTTTCGCTTCGGAGAGGAACGTATGGTATGACGGACATAAAAAGGTAGAATTTTAAATCACATTAAAATAGCTATTAAAATAGGTCAATAGACATCAAAGATTAATTACAACTAATACAATATAACGATGTCAAAGACGAGGACAAACCTTTCTTTTTCCTTTTCGACATCTACTTTGATGTTATTCAAGTCCTTTTCAAACTTGCTAGTCTCTTGTCTGACAGTCTTCTGCTCGTTGTCATCGAGAAGGTCGTCTTCCGACAAATGGCGACCGTATTCAAGAGCGAATTGTATCTCAGGATTAGATGACTGAAGTCCATTCTCACATTCCCTTAGCACAGACAGCTGTTCTTCGATTGATTTGCGATTTGTTGGTGTTTTGCTGTTTTTTACTTTGTTGAGCTTGCCGTTGAAGTTGTCTAGTAGGTCGCGCACCAGTTCCCGCCATTTTCTCCACTTAGAGAATTTCTCGGACTTCTCGGTGTCAAGTTGCGAAAGTTCTATGCCAAGTCTGAAAGAAAATCAAAGATATTACAGTTTTCTCTCGCTTTGCAGATATTTAGGTAACACGTCCAAATAAATTACTGAAAATAACTTTTTTAACTTTAACAGTGGAATATTGCGTTACCTATTGTTCTCGTCGTCACATTGGTTGCGTAACGCAATCCGGCGTGACTTAAGATCATTTATGTCTCTTCTAATAAGTTGTTTTTCTTCAATGTCGATATCATCATCGTTGAGAATATCCTCTGCACGCGCTAATGTCTCATTGACTTCAGGATCGAGAGCATCTACTCCTTCTTTACATATCTGCGTTACATAGTACATGTAGATTGCGTTACATGGAGTTATAAGAATCAGTAATCATTGGTCACGTAATATCACAATGTAAAAGGCCAGTAGAGTGAAATAGCAATAACAAAAAAACTGAAAAAGATATTTAAATCAAATTGATATACTTTAATTTCTAGTCTCCATTGTTTTCTCGACTGTTACATTTGTTTCACAGGTTTACAGTCATTTTCATTTGGTTGAAGAAGCGTGAAACTAATTATTGGTTCTAGCACATTTTGCAATAACACAAACCCTTCACTGACCTTAATTTCGTTGATTTTGTCCTTAATTTCCCTTCTATTGTGCGGCGTATCTCCAGACTTCACTTTCATTAATTTTGCTTTCAGTTGATCAAGCAGATCGTTGAGATTATCTTGTGATTTTCTCCATCGAGAAAATTTTTCTTCTTTCTCGGCTTGTTTTCTTTAATCAAGAAGAATACACATGATGAAAAAAGGGTAAAAGTCTAGCTTGAAACACTGTGTTCGAGAAAACTGATTAGAGCTCTCTAATAAATCTGAATTACCTCTAAAAGTATTGCTTTTTTGAGGAATTTTCAATTAAATAAAATTCATACAATTGTAATTCATACAAAATAAACAATTCAAGCGATAGAGATTGTTGTAGTAAAATAATAATACCTTTGGTTTTCGTCGTCCATTTCTGGTTCAGCTTGGACCTCTTCCACAGTCTGAAAGTGAAAGATAGTGTTATTATTGTTATACAATAGAAGCCGGAACTATACCGTGAAAAAATCAGTAGACAACATGACTAATAGTCTCCTTCACGGTTACCTGCGCCATCTTGAAAGGTAGCCGTGCCTTTGCATCGAAGCGAGACAACCGTTGAGCATGCAATGATAGAAACCTTCTTTCACACCTACTGACAATTATTCACAGGTTTCTATCATAGCACGCTCAACGGTTGTCTCGCTTCGATGTAAAGGCACGGCTACCTTTCAACATGGCGCAGGTAACCGTGAAGGAGACTATTAAGAGTGTTAAGCTGAACACAAAAGCAAGAACAACCAGAGCAGCAGCAGCAGCAACAACAACAACAACAACAACAGATACGTTCCTTTGTTTATACAAGCATATTACCTCTATTAGTATAGCAGTAGACATTTCTTCACGCAATTCTTTTAACCTGTTATATCGCAAAATACCGTTATCAGTTCTGTTTCACTTAATATGTAGGACGCTTCTGAAAGGATGGTACAATGTAAGAATTCAATCTTTCAAGAACATTTTTCAAAATTTTGCCAACTTCAGTGAACCCATCTCACACTGCGAAAATCCGAAACATACTTGTATATCACTCCCTATCCTACTTTTAATATTATCTTTACTTACTTTTGGTAGTGATCCTCGACTTCCTTCTTTGAGCTGGATAGCTCATCTCGAATCCTTTGCATATCATCTTCGATATCGTCCTTGTCTTTCTCTGGTATGTCTTCATCTGCTAACAATTCGTTACCATAACTAAACGATTGACGAAGGACCGGCATAATTTCTGCTAGTTTTTGTATGAGATCCTTGAGAATATGAAAAGAAACAGTAAGTAAGAACATAGAGTAAAATGCAAGGATTTGTAGTAATTTAAATTTCATAATGCAAATCCAGCTGAATTCGAGAGTGTTTGCATAATGGCGTAACTTTACTACAACTACGAGAAAGCCGTGCGTACTTTCATTGTTAGACTTAACCCCATTGGTGATAAGCAAAACAATTGTGATTGTGATTACAAAGGAAAATGTGAAAAGTATTCTTCTAGTTGTTGTATACACCCTTTTAATAAGTCCCGAGGTATTGTGTTCTCCGCACTTGACGTCAAATTTATTCTTTTGAATTCCTTTTGTATTGTAAAAATTTCAAAAGAATAAATTTGACGTCAATTGCGGAGAACTCGATACCTCGGGACTTATTAAAAGGGTGTATAAGACGCCTTCATGCAAATCAGCTATTGACAGAAGAACTCCCTTTACACCGAACACTTAATAACGATCCCAAAGATATCCGTTATAACAAGAGTTGGTGGACTATAGGTGTATCAATAACAATCAATACAGTCAACCCTCGCTATTACGGACACCCTCAGGCCATAATTTAGTGTCCGCAGTAGCTAGAGTCTGTATTAACGAGAGTTACTTTCAGTCATTTCTTTGTATTTTTCGCCGGGGATTCAGTATTTTACTGTCCGCAATATCGAGGTGTCCCCTGTAGCGGGGTGTTTGTAAGGCGAGAGCTGACTGTAATCAATCAATAACTAATCAATAACTAATCGGTGCTTACTTCGGTTCTGGATATCTGGTCGTTGAGTTGCTCTTCATTGGTAGGAGTCGGCCTGGTCGTGATTTCCAGTACATCGTGTCTCCCAGTCTCCGATATCTTATTTAATCGATCTCTATGCTCAAACCATACATCCATTTTTTGATCTCTTTCCTTGTCCAGTCTGAAACAATAGCACAGTGTTTATGCGAGGTATTCATATATAGTCAATCCATGTGGGACGGGACAAGTAAAAAATACACGATCATGCGCACTGCACTGAAGTCCCTGTTTTCTTCATATCTGCATATTACGTCTCAATGTTTTATTTAATACACATGGTTTCCAGTTGATTACAATCGGTTTAACTGTCTATCGTGCGCTTACCGACTTTTTCGGTTACCATCGACTTCGTCGTTAAAGGACAATTCCCAATAAGGTCTTTCTTTGGTTTCTTTACCGAGAAACTACAAAACAGAAAAAAAGATGGTTGACTACAGGATGGGTAGCATGTGCTTAACTCTGAACAACAACAACAGCAACAGTAGCAGCAGCAACAACAACAACAGAAGCAGCAGCAACAACAGCAGCAGCAGCAACAACAGCAACAACAGCAACAGTAGCAGCAACAACAGCAACAACAACAGCAGCAGCAACAACAACAACAGAAGCAGCAGCAACAACAGCAACAACAACAACAGCAGCAACAACAACAGCAGCAGCAGCAGCAACCACAGCAGCAGCAGCAGCAGCAACAACAACAACAAAAACAACTTACCTCATCGATAAGCTTTCTATCTTGCTTTGTTTCAGCAGGCATTTCATCCAGAAGACGATCAAGCCTAAATGAGAATTGGGATATAAAATGGACAATAGAATAAAAGGTGTAACGATAACTCAATATGACTTACTTTCGTTCTTCGTTGGCAGCGTCGTCGCGAATTTTCCTGAGTTGAGTAGTCAATTGTTCCACGTAGTTCTTGACGTCATCTTTTTCTTCATCTGTGACGTCATCACGAGCAAGGACATCGTTAGCACAGTCGATGGCTTTTCTTAGTGTTGGTTTAGAGTCCTCGACGTCCTCTTGTAACTCCTTAAGGGAACAAAACATATGTCCAATGTCATCATCATCATTGTCATCAAAATTAATATCATAGTCAAGACGTTGTCATAGTAACTGTCAAATGATGTCATAGTTTACCTTGGCTTCGTCTCTCTGTTCTATGACATCATTTCTATCTTTGGGTACTTCTTGTACTCGGTGTAGTCGCCGATTCAGATGAAGCACCATGTCATCAAGATAATCCTTCCAGTTTCGCCACTTACCAAGCTGATCTCTTTTCTCAGCTTCGTGCCTTTGAAAGAATGGAATACAATCGTGATTTAAATATTGTTACGTGTTTTGGATAACTTAATGGACTGATTGATTAAATTCTCTTTTCCTACCGTTGGTCGAGGTCAAGATCGTCGTGAAGGTCCCAGATATAATCGTTAATCGGCTTGGAGGGAACAAACTAAAAATTGAAATCGATATGAGAAAAAGATGGATGAATGGGAATGGCAGAACGGGAAAGAATGAAAAAAATGCATCAATGAATAAGTAAATCGATAAATGGAGATTAAAGAAATCGGAAGACCCTCACCATAGCATGGATGACTTCATCAGAATGTCCGTCTTTATCGTCATCAAAATGCAGCTCAAAGTCAGGTCTCTCATGATGGCGAGCGTAATGAAGCTACAAAAAAATCATATATACAAAAAAACTATTATTTGATACTTTTTGAGTTGTGATTGTCCAGGACTCCGAGAAGAAAACATCCTCGAAAATACTAAATGAATCAATGATATATAATTGTCGCGATAAACTCAAAGAACCGCGTTCATCCGACAACCTTTGCGGTCTTTAATTTTGTTTTAAAAATGATCTATAATTGCTTTCTGATTGGTTCAAAATCAAAGATGGCTGTATGTGGGGTACTAGTTGATGTACCTCTTCATAAACACTTTGCTTTTTATCTTCATCATCTTTATCACGAGGCAGGTTCTCTAGCATCTCCGACAGCCTAAAAAAAATCAAATATTACGTGTATTGAGTGTAAGTCAAACTGCGATGTGGGGGAGGGGAGGGGGTTGTATGTAAGCTAATAGATGTTATTACCTGTCTTCTTCATCGCAGGCTTCATTGTACATATCCTGAAGTTTAGCCTCGAGTTCCTTGATGTATTGCTTAATTTCCTCTTTCTCCTTCTCAGTGATGTCATCGTCTTGTAGTAGCTCATTAGCATACTCTACAGCATGCATGACACGTGGTTTGGAATCTTCGATCTCTTCTTTACATTCCTGATATATACATGAGTTAAAGCGAGATAATAATAGCGTTATTTCTATCAGAATTACAACATTAATAGCCATCACTGGCAATGAGATGGACGAATATTGCTTTGATAATAAAGTCTAAAATGGTTTCATACCGTCGCTTCGTCTAGTATTTCTTGTATTGCTTTCCTTTCTGGCGGAGGATCAGAATCGGCGACATAATCCAGCTGCTTCCTTTGTCTCTCTAAGAAAGTATCCAATCTGTTTTGCCACTTTCTCCAATTTTCAAGTTTTTCTGCCTTTTTCGCTTCATCCCTGGTTGCATAAAAGATTCAATGAATCAATGAATCAACCAACCAATCAATCAATGAATCAATCACCTTTGTTCAGGAGTAAGGTCATCCAGTAATATCGTAATGTATGTATGAGCTCGTTGATCATCCTTTCCCTGAATATTACAATCAAACAGTAAACCAAATGCTATCTCGTGTATTGCAGATGGTATTTGAGCAATTACCTCATGAGAATCTTCCACTTCATCAAAATGAAGRTCAAACTCTCCTCTGACTTTGTGCTGTAAACGAAAACAAAATCATTACAAATAAACAAAAGATAAAGAAATAAAACAAAGAAATGCAAATACAGAAAACAAGAAAAACAACAACAATGCAAATAAACACATACAAGAACAAAACCAACCTCTTTCTCAACCTCCTCATTGACATGTTCATCCTCAAACTCAAAGTCAAATCCTTTCCTTTGAGAGAACTGCTGATGAATCGGCTTTAAGAGAAAACAAGTGTCAACAAAATGTTATACAACTTCAAGATGTTTAAGTCTACAATCCAGCAAAAAATGTGAACTTTTGCTATAGTAGTGTAAAGATTGATTCAAAACAGCAATGATTTGGTATACCTGTTCTTTGATGATCTGTTCATGGTCGTCCGTAACATATCGTGGATGAGGAGTGTTGTTCCAGATAGTGGTGAGCCTGGTAAAGACAAATTATCGTGAAAATACCACAAGAATGAGAATCATAGAGTTCATTGGAAACTTCGTATGCATAGACGCAGACTTTACATACACAACAAAAATATAAAAGAAACAGCATCAATGTTTTTTTTCAATTATACCAATAAAACACATAAAAAATAGAGTTGTGGACTTGTCTTACCTTTCTTCTTCATCGACGGCATCTTTGTGGAGGTTGCGCAGTTTGACTTGTGCATGAGACACATAGTCTTCAATTTCTTGTTTCTCTTCAGCTGTCAAATAAGGATCATCTAGAAGGTCGTCACAATGATGAAAGGCTTCTCTGATCATTGGCTCAGACTCTTCGATCTCTTCTTTACAGTCCTAGAGACAGCAACAGATGTTAGAGAGGATGATAGTGATGATGCCCCTGATGATGATGATGCAAACATGATATTTGTGTTGACGATGATGTGACGTATATATATATATCACGTGACAATGGTGGTCACGTGACTGAAATATACCTCAGCCTCGTCCTTGTGTTCTTTCACAGTTCTCCAGTCCGTTGGCTCATCTGTTGACTTGACGCGATTTAGTTTATCAGAGAGTCGAGCGATTAGTTCGTCTAGTTTATTCCTCCAGTTCTGCCAGTCTCTCATCTTTTTGTCTTTCTCGGCAATTCTCCTGTTGAAAGTAAAATGTACTTTAAACAACGACGTCTTTAGACTATTAAGAAATGTAGGGTAGATGTGACTCGCGTGCGGGATGTTCAAGAACTGTGAGAACCTTCTTAAAAAAGAATCAACCAAGAAAACGAAATGAAAACAAGAAAAGCACGCAGCGTAATTCAACGCAAATTGCGAGCTTTATTTACATACCTTTCCTCTGGTGACATGTCGTCGTGCAAGTTATCAAAATAGTCATGAGGCAGACCTCGCTCGAACTTCAATCAAATATAATAAGGAATATGTCAACAGATAGATTAATCAATAACTGGATACAAAGATATGACATGAAGTCAACTATGACCTCATATCAAGAAAGAGTGCATGACGTCATGAATATCAAAGTGACGTCACTTCGAGAGTATGACGTCATATATTGAGTACGACTTCATACCTACCATTGAGTGAATGATTTCGTCTTCTTCCTCTCCATCAGAGAAATTTAACTCCCAGTAAGGTCGATCATGGTGGGTAACATGAAACTGAAAACAAACATTCAAATGTCACATCTTTACAGACAAGATATAGCAAATAAAATGTTTTGTATACCTTTTCGTCGACAAGCTCACGGTTGTACTCATTCTGTAGTCTTTCTAACCTAAATAAGATATCGGTACATCAGCATACGGTTGTACGAAGGGACAAATAGAGATATCAACTCGATAAATCCTTATCAGGAAGCTCTATCAACCCTTCGTATAACAAGTCACAGTTCTAAGAATATAGTACATAATATTAATACTCTAGTACGTCACGTGATGTCCGCCATATTGGATGAAGTTGACTCATTCAACATGGCGCAACAAGGAGTTGTCATGGCAATGTGAATATACTACAAAACGCATATAGGTGGGATAGTACAGCCTCGATGATGAGAATAGGACTCCAGCACAGGAAGCCCATAAGTACCTGTGTTGTTCGTTCACGACCTGTCTATGTACAGTCTTAAGCTGTACTTCAAGGTCGCTGATGTACGCTTTGATCTGAACTTTCTGTTGTTCATCGATGTCTTTGTCTTTCAGAACATCGTTGGCACAATCGAGCGCGCTTACAACATCTGGTTCGTAGTTCTCAATGTCTTTTTTACAATCCTATGAAAATGAATCAAAATTATTCTTTACACATTATTGGCAAAAGGTTTTCGGGATGTAATGGCGAATATTCGACCAAACGTTATTTAGGTTTATTGATGTGGTATCAACTCATCACAGGCAGTCAATACTGTTGCTTTCATTAAATGCAGATCTTCAAAGATGGACAATTTGCTTTGCTCTTTTGGCAGATGAATAAATACTCTCCATCCAAAATTGAATAATTCAATGACTTTCGATCGTTCAATTTCAATTCAGCTCCTATACTTGGAAATAGCTACATAAGGCAGCTGGTACAGAAGACAAAAACACTGTTCTTTCGACAACTTATGAAGAAATAGCAAACCTTGACTTCTTGTAGTTTCTTATCAAGGTCGTCCTTATCGTTCGGGTAGCCATCTACTTTATCCATTCTATCTTGTACATTTCTAAGAAAATCATCGAGTTTGTTCTTCCAGTGACGCCAACGGTTGAGTTTTTCCTCGGTGTCCCTCCTGCAAATAGTACAAATGTAAGACGAACATAAGCGATATTGATAGCTTGTAGGGGGAGCTAGTTTGAGATAATTTTGTCGTTATATTGGGTTGCTATCTTAATAACGTACCTTTCGTTATCGGTCGATTTGTCTTCTATCGACATCACGTATTCCTTTTGTGGTCCTTTCTCGAAAAACTGTATAAAATTGGAATCCAATTCAATTAAGATTGGTAGAATACTTAGCGTGCATAAGCCGAGTGCGTGAGGATTTTTCGCACTAGGAGCAGTCGATATCAGCTAGAACTTCTTTTCTAACAGGAACAGGGGTATAATCTTTGTTTCCAGCGTTAATTTGGATTCAGTGCTAATTTGAGGTACGAATATTTCGTGTGGTGTCCAGTGTACAGGTTACCATTTCAGTAAAGTTAGTTAACTATGATATAAGTAAATATAAATCACCTTGATGTTGATAGATTGGTCAACAGAATTGATTCTTAGTGGTGAATGAGGTACTCTGAAACAAAACACACAAATAAACAAACAAGCAATGGCAACAAACAAACATCGATTAAGTAAAAACGGCGAAATAGTTTAAAATCAAGAAAATGAGAATAAAACCGAGAGAAAGAAAGCTAGTAAATCATGTTAGCAGTCAAAAGTAATAGACAGAAGATAGAGAAGCAATCGATAGAAAAAAAAAAGAGAAAAAAAAAAGAAAAGAAGGAAAAATTAACATTAAAAAGTAGATGCCCCGTGTGAGGATCGAACTCACGACCTTCAGATTATGAGACTGACGCGCTGCCTACTGCGCTAACGAGGCTAAACATAATAGAACCTTTCGTTAATAGTAACGTACTTTTCGCGTTGCTCATCTAGATTCGACCAGTCCCAGTCTCCTCCTCTCTCCGCAAACTGCTCATTGATTGGCTGATTAAAATATAATAGAATCACTTTCAGTAAGAGAGAAAGTCTAACAAAAACGAAAAGAAATAACAAACCTCTTCTTCGACTATCGGTTCTTCGTCTGTATTGGGATGGTATTTCTCTTCGATTAATTTATCAGCCCTGTGCGATAATTGAGTCGTATTAAAAATGTTATCTTTCAAAGGACAATTTCTAACCGGAATGCAATGCGGTCATATAGAGGTAACGTTTTCACTCACCTTTGTTGTTCTTGATCAGCTTCATCTTGAATCGTTTTCAATTTGATGTTCAAACTTCTGATATAAACTCGAATCCTCTCCTTCTCGTCCTCATCAACATTTTTATCATCGAGCAACTCGTTTCCCAGTCGTATGGATTCACGAATCATCGGCTCTGAGCCTTGGATCTCTTCAATACAGTCCTAAAAATATCAATAAACTGCTTGTCAGTAGATTGACTTTGGCGTTTCGCTTTGTTAAAAAGTTCAACACTCCAAATCCAAGTTGGAAATTACCTTAACCTCGATAAAGCATTAGAGCGTAATCCAACATAAATATGTTCTTTAACTTCAATTTTACCGTGTTATTATTCTTGTTATCATCGTTATCGTCACCACTGCTATTAGCAAAGCCGTTAGAATTATTTTATTGTTATAATTAGGTTTGTGCTTCGCATTTTTGTAGTCTTAACTACACCACAGCGAAGTCTAAAGCTATATTGTTCTGAGTACTGTAGAACAAAACGTATTACTTTTCTTTAACAAACATTGTTATCTCCTTGGTATTGATAATTTATTATTACTCTAATCATCATTATCATCATCATCATCAGATTCACCGCCATTATTATTACTGTTAGAATTTACAATCATTATTATCATCCCTATTATCAAAATTATCCTTCATATTATCGAGGCTAAGGCTAACTTGGAGTGGAATTACGAAAAGGTTTGCATGCACACACACCGAACCTGCTGTAGGCGCCATTCTTGTCCTAGCATGCTACCCTGTGGTGCAAGAAGTAGAACTCAATACTTGCCAAATGGTAGCAGAATAGTCGAGAAAACCTCATGAAACCGACCACGATCGAGTTCATGAGGTTTGTGATGTCAGTGCGTATTCTTTGCATGCCATTATAGGTCGGATTATAAGGTGTATAGGTCGCAATAACTAGTTATATTGTTGAAGTAAAGATGTGAAGTAATTATGTCATACTTTACGATAAACAGGTTTAGAGAGAGTGTCTTTTAACATAAAAGGTCGGAAAGAAAGCAATACAATTATTTTAAAGACGATTAGGGGTCGTTATCTAGGGGTATTATGTTAGATTTATAAAAGGTATAAAATTATTCCAAAAGAGTTACATGTTACTAATTGTTACTGTGAATTGTTAAATGTATTACTTAAGATGACCAATTACACCGTGACAATAGTTCTTTTTCCTTATAAGGTCATGCTATGTCGAAATGCATCATGGTATTGATAAAGTACGTCTTATAGAAACTACATAGAATGAAGTTTACTTGCAAAATAAAAGTTACCCAAAGATTATTTCGGAGTCCTATACCCTATACAGCCTGACATACAGCAACATGGCTTCAGTTTATACTTTTGTTAATCCCGTGATGCATCTCGCTGAAGATCGCATGACGTCACAAGGAGAAAAGACAATTAATTTTTTTTTCACGGGTTTAGGGTCTTGAAATACCTCAGCGGTCTCTTTATGATCTTTAATGTCGTCGTACCGCTCGGGGTCGGTTGATTTCAAACGGTTCAGTTTCTCCATTAGGCGATTTAATAACTCGTCGATTCTATCGATGATATTTTTCCATTGGTGAAGTTTCTCTTGCCTCTCATGTTCATATCTGAAAAACAATTTGTTAAACTGGTTTTTAACTGGCAAGAAAGACGGAGAAAGACAAGTAACAACAGTATTATTATTTGTTCCTTATGTTATGACGGTTATAAACTGGTTTTCACTGGCAAGAAAGACGGAGATAGACAAGTAACAACAGTATTATTATTTGTTCCTTATGTTATGACGGTTATAAACTGGTTTTCACTGGCAAGAAAGACGGAGAAAGACAAGCAACAACAGTATCATTATTTGTTCCTTATGTTATGMCGGTTTTATGCTCATAACGTACCTTTCCTCTGGTGTCATCGCGTCATGAAGAATTTTGAAGTACTGGTCAGCGGTTACATGCCGACGAACAACAAATCTTTCCTCACTGCGTCACAAAATAACAAATCAACCGCTGACTGGTAACAACGCGGGTAACATATGTGACATAGACTCTTCCACAGTTTCCTGCTCGGCTTTGACTGTGGAATAGTCTAGAAACATATGCAGAAGCAAAGCAGGGTATTGTGAGACTGTAGATAATAAAAAGGTTGTACTTACCCCGGGTCCCCACCGTCTGTTTGTTCGGGTTCGCTTTCTAATGTTTGATCCTCGTTGACCTATGAATAAAAGATAAAAAACGATTGTTGTTAAGGAAAGCAAACAGTATTATTATATATTATTATATCGATACTTACAGTCACCGTTTCCTCTGGAGTCAAAGCTTGCAGCCTAAAGATATACAATGTTATAAGCCTCCAGTTTTTCATTTCTTTTATGTACTGATTATTGCATCCTTAATTCATTTTTCAAGCGAAAATTAATACAGTTCCTTGAAAGCCTTGTATCTGAATTGGTTAACTCTCTTACCAGGCGAAGTAATTTGTGAATTCTTCTCTCGTTTCTTTGAAAGCAGGCTCCAGAATGTTAAGGTCGTGTTCAACAATGTCTTTGTTTGGGTCAGATACACGAGGGTCTTTGAGGAGCTCGTTGCCCATTGACAGTCCTGCATCAATGTCCGGGATAGCTTCTGACGCCATTTGCTGATATACCTCCTGTAAGGAACAGTCTTAGTTTATTATTAAGGTAGATTTATTATTAGAACAAAGCCTTGAAACAAAGGGACACAATAGTGCAGTAAAGTGATGAAGTGTAAAAGTGTTCTTTTGTGAATATTGCTCTAATTCCGTGAAACAAATAGCCACCAGCGCGATCTCTAAGAGCGTGCTATATCTGAAACATACAACGAATTGTAACAGTTTATTAGCGATTGAAAAGGTTTGTAAATAAACGAAACTTGTTCCGTGCTACGTCTCATAAGTTCGTGAAGACTAAAGACACGTTGAAGTCAACGAAAAATATGAGGTAAATAGTACTAAGTTGACAATTAATTCTAAGGGGGGAGGAGTAGGGGAACACCAGACTGTTCGTCTCATGTCCCCTAGAGCCACCAAGCAGGTTAGTTTACCTGTGTTTCATCGATTTGATCGTCAATCTCGTCCGCTGTTATGGGTTCTGGTCGTGATTTCAAGTCTTTTACAATCTTCCGTGCCTCTTCTAACAAGCGATTGAGTTTGATGGTCTCGTCCTTCCATGATGCCATCTTATTGTCCTCTGCTCTGAACTCCTCAAGCAAATCTGTTAACCTGATTGTCAAATATACAGTTAACGTTTTACTAAAGGTTGACTTTGCTTTGATTGACTTTTTTCAGACTTTACACTCAGAGATAAACCATTAGTAATAGCGTTTATATCATACCAGATCATTAAAATGTTCGCTAAACTTCTTTCAAACGTACACTCACATTTTTACATTTCTTTTCATCTCTATTTACTCCTCTTTTGTAATCAATAACGTATTTTACCCATACCTCTTGTGTTCATAGTTGACATCATCTCTCAAGTTCTGAAAACCGTTTCTCAAGTCTGACATGTCTATTTCAATGTTGTCTTTGTCCACTTCAGTCAGTTCATCATCGTTAAGAAGTTCATTACCATACTCATACCCTGACTGGACCTCAGGTATTTTACCCATGATTTCATCTGAAATATCCTGAATAGGAAAAACACCATCAGTTTTAGCACTATTAAGCCCACTTAATATACAGTTTGCTTAACGGGTAAACGAAAAAATTCCTGGAAAAAACTACCTCTCTCATCATTTGCTTTCACAGTAACTAAATGCTCCTCCAATTCTTTATAAAATCTAATTTCCTTAAAACTTCTCCAGTATATATCCCAAAATACTTTCTCAAGTAGATATCCCATAATATTTTTTTCAAATAGACATCTCGTGATACTTTCTCTAATAGACATCCCATAATTTCTCATAGAAACAATGGATTCAAAATGGCGACCGTATTGGTTGGAATATCCTTTGCGCAAGAACTGTAACAGTTTAACAAAGGGGTTTTGCATTCTTATGGAGGCACACCTTTCGTTGTGTGACACAAATGGAGCAATGGGAAGCTTTGCGTGATGTGATTCCTATAACTAAGGCTCTCAAATCAAAACAATTCTACTATATATTATTACTATCATATATGCTAACAAATGCGTATTTGTAAGCCTTGTTTTTTCAAATATCTATAGTCAGTTCATTTCAAATGATTTTGCATAAAATGTTTTGGCATCACGCTGGTTTAAGCAACATTCCTAACATCGATAAACACGTAAATGTTTATATTCTTCGATGCTGTTGGAATACGTTTGTATAATATATACTTTCACGATATCATTTCTATTATCAAAACAACAAATAATAAAAAGGACTGATTTCTATGGGGTAGAGTCAYATTAACAATAAAAAACCATTGTAAACAAAACGAGCTAACAACAAATATTTCGATAAACTTTTTGAGCGAAAATCCTATTGAAAACTATTGAACTTACTTCAAATTAACTTGAGTAATTGAGTAATATTTTTATATAATTGAATAATACTGCTGTATATATTTTGACAATTAAAGCAATAAGAGTTATAAGAAACAAAAGAATCGTATGACTACATATTTAAATATTCTTTGGAAAACTTTTCGAGCGTAAATTGAATACAAAAATCGAGAATTCGAAATTATGTTAGTTTTTGAAAACTTCAAACAGCAAAAGAGGGCTTTGCTTTTGAAGAGAAAATTGTTTCTTCTGAATCATGTTTCTACTGAAACATATTCCAAGACTTTAAGATATAAATCTCCAATAGATCTTAATCATTGTTACACAAGTTAACACTATTATTAAATGGTCAACAGATAAAGAACCATACTAAGCTAAAGACATGAACACAAGCCCCATAAGAACACAAATACTATGAAATACACGCGCACAAAAAAGTTAAAAGTATTAATATAATCGAAAGCAGAATTCATACAGTCAATATCAACTTATCCAGCGATCCATAACAATTCATACTCACCGCTGTACTCTTGATTCTTTGCCCAGTTTCTGCTGCATTTTTTGGCAGAGGTTGAGACAGGAGTAAACGAAATTTTCGTCGAAAATCGTCTAAGGTATCTTTCATACCATGTTTGGTTCTTTCCCATTTGGACAGCTTGGAGTACCTCATCGCTTCTTGTTCATCGGCAGCGGTTTTACGGGTGAGTTGTCCCTGAAGCCTGTGTTTATGGTGCAAATACTTGTAATTCCAATGATATTGTTTATAATATATGCAGGAATTAGAGTATAAACTAGACAATTTAATTGAACTAGATAAGAATGAAGCTTTTGTAAAGCAAAAAGCGGACAACTTGGTGTGAAAACTATTGACTATTAATATTGACTTTTTAAAGTACAAATCAAACATTAAAATATACTTTTCGACTTTTTCATAAAACAATTATAACAATGCTTTAAGTGTAAGCATTGTTTGCATGCAAATTACGAAATACAGAGGAATTTCATTGAATTCAAATAGTTCAGTTTAAATCTAGAAAAGTCATGTCGCCCACAAACACTGAGTTCTCTAAAAAATGATAAAAACGCCAGTTGTTCGAAGGCTGGATAAAGTTTAGCCTCCTCCACGGTCATCACTAAGAATCACGGGATTCCTGTCTTTTTGGGGAATCAAAAGAGGGAGAATGGGAGCGAGAGAGGGGAGGTTTCTCGTCACTAGTCCCTACTGGCCAAGATGACGGTTACAAAGGAAGCCCAAAGGAGGAAAAAAGAGTTGCCTGGGGATGAGGCTAGATGAAGTTATTCACTCAGGATATGTTTTTATATGGATTTTATCTGTTGGATATGGATTTTATCTGTTGGATAAGGATTTATCTGGTGGATAACACTATTCAACCTTCGCACGACCGACTTCTGCTCAAGTTCAAAGTAATTTACATTGGTGTATTGGCAACATGTGAAATTCGACGCTTAAAAACTACCTTAATAGTATCTGCAATAGATGACAGTTGCGTTACTATGTAAAGCAATTGATATTGCGTTACTAGTGTAACGCAATCTTGTATACCACCGAGTGCTACTGGTAAGTTAATACCTTTTCTGGTGCATCTCAACGTCATTTTGTAAGGCTCGTAACTTGTTCCCAATCTCCTCTGCGTCGCTCTGTACCAGGTCCTTCTCGTTCTGTGCCAGTAAGTCGTCAGCGAGAAGTGTGTTTCCCTGGTCGAAGCAGGACTGGACTTCTTGGAATATCAATGGAACTTCTTCAGCGTATTCCTGAAATTAGACAAAATGAATCTCTGAGTTCTGCTATCTATTACTTTAATATTAAGCTAATATCAATGATTATTACTCACTTGTACTTTGGCTATCTCCGATTCTATCTCTTCTTTGGTCTCAGGATTATCATTTAAGGCATTAACTTTTGATTGACAGTTGTCAATCAAAGCTGAAGTAATTTGTTTGGTGTTTTGCCATTTTTCTAGAGCGTCTGTCTTTGTTGTCTCTTGTTCCTCAAGATACACCTTCAACCTGTTGGGGTCAAAGAATGAGGTTGGAAAATTGCTTCCCATTTTGGCCAAACACCGATTGACATCGACAAAAGAGCAAGAAGTTGGATTAAAGGATCAGGGCAAAGCTGTTTCTAACAGAACTACACCTCTGTATTACGGTTACCTCCACGGACTAGAGAGGTTTTTACATACCATCCCTTTATATCACGGTCACCTTGACGGATTAGAGGGTGTTTCTACATACCATTCCTTTATATCACGGTCACCTTCACGGATTAGAGGGGTTTCTACATACCACCCCTTTATATCACGGTCACCTTGACGGATTAGAGGATGTTTCTACATACAATTCCTTAATATCACGGTCACCTTGACGGATTAGAGGGGTTTTTACATACCACTCATTCTGGTTACTTGCGTCCTCTTTCAATGCTTTTAGCCTGCTGTTCATTTGTTCCATGTCATTGGTGATCTCTTGTTTTTCCTCTTCTGATAACGGGCTGTCATTCTTAGTCAGCTGTCCAAACTCCAATGCTGAAACCACTTCAGGTTCCAGATTTTCCAAATCTTGAATGGATTTCTATAGAAATGAAACGATATTCTTTATATATTATATTATGTATTAGTTAGACGTGCAAATTTATCTCTTCATTACATTAAGAATTCCTGGAACTTGTTCAACCCGTGAAATACATTTTATCATACTTCACTTTACTAATTT